CATTATATTCACAACCCTAAATGATTAGCCTAATGTTTTCTAACTAAACTACCTAAAACAAATCCTAAAAAATTGGTATAAAAATCAAGGGGGCACCTAATATATGTATCTAATTATACTAAAAAAATTGGCCTAAAAAGATTATGAGAAGTACCTAAAAGAAATTCTACAAAACTATATACAAACTAAAAGTATTTAAAAAGGCATTAAAAGAAAAAATATGCAAAAAATATTAAAAAAAATAAAATGGAAATTTTATTACATGATATTTTTCTACACAGAAATATGAAAATGGTAAAAAAACAACCAATCAAAAATATGGAAGTTTCAATTTATTATGAATTTTTGAAGTTTAAAAAAAAATGGAGGAAAACTAATATGAGAATTGATGCATGGGGTGCAGTTAGTAATGATTTTAAGTTGAAAAATGGATGATGGGCCCAGACTGGGGGTGCGTGTAGCAAAGCGCGCCTGGGCCCAGTGCAGCATAAAATCATTTCAGAAAATCAAAAAGAAAAAGAAACACGTGCAGTGTAAATAGTAGGGAAATGTAGTTCAATTTGAGTGGGCCTTGATATTGGGGGTGCGAAAAGCATTGGTCATTAAGCCCACCAGAGGACTTTAAATGAAACGAAGCGTTTTGGCTTCAGACTCTTCCCTCTCAATTCAACTTTGAATCCAGGTCGTTCGATCACGTTCTCAGTCAACAATGAAGACCTCATCCAACGCTTGTCATGCTTCGTCTTCCTCATGCCTAGGGTTTGTATGAAACAGCCATGGAAGTTGAACCTCATGCATCATCTTCTCCTCACTCGTGTCTACTCAATTCTTTGTCAAACTCAAAAGTGTAAAAAGCAAAGTTACTCCAAATCTCTCCCTGATCAAGCCTATGGTATCAGTATCCATTAATATCAACTCTAGCATGAAACACGATCTCCACCTCAAAATTACTCAGAATTTTTATCATCACCAATCCACAATCTAAGTATACTAAACTCTTCATGGCCTTGCACTGATCAATAATCACTAACAATTCAAGATTCTAACAACCTAATCACCAAGTTCTAGGTCTCAACAGAATTTGTGCTCCAATGTCAAACTCCATGAAATGCTCTCAAACTCACTGGAATTGATCATCTACCTATTCCTAACAGTTCTAACCTAATGATTCTACATCATGCTATCTATTCTATGCCAATTCGAAGAAAACACTAACCTGGTGCAAAATTGAAAACAGATGATGAAGCTCTTGGATTCGCAGCCAGCAATGCTCTAGACTTGATCAATGGAGGTGGATCTTGATACTGTATGCAGCAACTCTTGCTCAAATGCTTTGGATTCTTGTAACCACCTCTTTTTGCAATTTGAATGATGAACTTGCAACACACGAATCTTGCACCAATACACTTGGATCTTGCTTGCAATGTAGTCTATGATGAATATGGAGTATGATAGGATCAAGAACTTTGAAGAATGATGAGGAATTGAGAGAATTTGGATGAATTTGCAAAAATGCAAGAGAGAATGAAACTAGGTGTTTTGGATCAAAATGAAGTGTAACCCTGCATTGAAGGAGCTCTAGGGTTTATATAGATGCCCATGGAATCATCTAGAACTTGCTGGAAGCTTCTTGTACACAAATCCCTTGTGATTTGGCATATGCCACTTTAATCATAAGCAAGCCATGATAACTCTCAAACTTTTAACTAAACTCAAAAATCCACTATTGCCAATGGTCTCAAAACATTGTTTCCAATCAAAATGACCTATAATTTCATCCCATTTGGACATGTTATGAAAAAATTCCCAAAAAATGGCTATTTAATGACTTAAATCATGCCTTAATTAGGTCATTTTTGCAAATATGAGCTATACCCATTTTCAAACCTCCATGACCACTTTTATAGACTCAAAACATCATTTGGAACAACTTTTATGTTGTGAAGTTTTTCATTTGAAGCTTCCTTGTATGACTTTTAGGCATATGCTTGAAATGACCCATAATTCTCAAATGCCCAAAATACTCTTTGCTTGCCAAGGTCATAAGTAGAGTTCCACAAATCAGATGAAGGCATACCATACCTTTCTAGAAAGCTAAGATCATGAGTAACAACTTTCATGTTGACCAGAAATCCATTTGAAAGCTCCTTGAGGGGTAAAAGTTGCTTGGAAGACAAGTAACTTTCACAGACAAAATTTCAGATGCCTCTCATGACCTATAACTTGCAAGGACCATAACTTGAGTTATATAAATCTCCTTGATGTCTTCCACCACTCAAATTAAAGGTCTTGAGATCCTCCACAAGTTTCATGTTGGCCAAGGATCCATTTGAAGCTTGCATTTTGACTTATCTTGCTTGGAAGTTTGACCTAAACAAGGGGATTTTACACAGAAACCCTAATTTAGAAACTTCTCTTCTTCTTGATTTCTCTTGATTTCTCCTTGGCACAAAACCACATCCCTATCTACATGTCAAATGATGAACCCCACATCTTTCAAATAGGCCTTGATGCCCTTCAATCAAGCATTTGACCTAGGGTTGACCCAGGGTTGACCCAGATGAAACCCTAGTTGACTGTCTTCAACTGCAACTCTTGTGATCACATCAATGACTTGTCTCACTTTCAAAATGGCCTTATAGGTCCTCCATGATGTCTATATTCCCTCCATGCTCAATTCACAGCTCACAACTTCTTTGATGATCTTCAAATACACTCAAGATAGGAGAGAGATCCACTGCTTGGTCCACTGACTTCTCTAGGTTTCAATTTCTTTCTGATGACTTGGATAGGCTTGAATTTGAATAAGAACCTCTTGATAGGCTCATAGAGATAAGAATAGTACTTGGTCCCTTGTTGGATGATTTGCTATGCTATGCTATGCAGATGAATGAATTATGTACATGACCTAATATGCAAATGCTAATGCAATTGAAACATAAACCAAGTGAAGTAGGTTGAGCAAATTTTAGGGTGCAACACTGAGGCTCTGCGAAGAACAACCATGTCCCCATGGTGACATATGGGTTTCCATCACAAATTGGAATCCAAACTACTACAACTCTTCAAAATGGGTTTGTTTAAACAATGCTCGTAGTTTATTGATGATGATAACTTCATTTTCCACAACCAATTGCAATGTTGACCTATCCATATTGAAGAATCCTAAATCGGTTCGGGGAAAATCCTTGCAAGATAGGGAGGAAGAGGATAGAACGAAAAAGATGATATATAAAATCTACATCAGCAGCCACACAGACCAAAACAAACATCTGTTTTAGCCAAAAAGACGGAAAGGACCACTGAGCCACTATTTGAACAATTAAATGATCACTTTGCCACTTTTTAAAATTAAGGGATAAAAATGGACTTCGAGGTAAACTTAAATGACCAAAAATGATATTTTGCCTTTTGTTTTTTTTCTTCCTCCCATAAAACTCTTATTTTGTTTAAAAAACTTTTGAAATTGTTTTTAGTGGGGATTAGTCTATTCAACCCCCCATTCTAGACCGTTTCTTATTCATATTCTCACCAAACACGGAGAAGAGACAAACTACAAGTTAAAGAGGAATTAGAAGAAGTCAATAGAAAATATTAGAGTTTGACCTAACTCATTCTTACAAAACCGGCTTGTAAGGTGAGAGGTGTCACTCTATATAAATTTTTTCAATACTCTATATCTAACCGATGTGGAACTTAGGATTTTTCCAATACACTCCCTCACGCCCAACACTCTTTTGAACTTGGTGCATGGATATTAACGATGGGTGATCCATTATCCGATCGATTGGATTTGATAAATATCACTCTATATAAACTCTTTCAATATTCTATCTCCCACCAATATGAAACTTAAGATTTTTTCAATAAAAATATCTAACGAGCTTTCAAATTTATTTATCTTTGTCTAAGAAAAAAATATACCCTCAAAATGATCGAGAGAATCTCAACAACAACTACTTTAGAAATGTCTCATCCCCCTAAAATACTTCTCTAGAACCTCATGTTCTCCATCAAATAAATCAAATAATAATAGAAAACTTAGTGTCACATTTGTTTATCAAAGAACTATCCATTTTTAAACCTTGTTTTTTTTTAACATTATTTACCTAACAACAATTAGAAACTAATTATGAATGTTAATTAGAACATGGTTTTTGTTATATACTATAAGTGTAGACAGATGGAGTAAATAAATGAAGAGTTGTTGTTGGAAAAAAAATAAGTTCCATTCCATAACGACCAAACCGAAAAAAGTTGTCTCATTGATTATTGTTATTGTAAACACAAGCACAAACACACACACGCAGCATAAGAAGTATCGCCCTCACACTATTCATTCACTCATATTTGGCCTTTTCTTCTTTCAAACCCCATCTCATTCATTCATTCCTCTCACTACTACTACCAACAATAACAACTCTCTCTTTCTTTTCCCTTCATTGACGATCTCCACGAAGCTACAATACCCTTATAATTTCAACAACTCTTTCTCTTTCTATTACCCATTTTCTTCTCTCTCTACCTCTCCTTCCTCCTTGGGTTTTGGATCTTCAATTTCTCATTCACTGGTAATTTTCTATTACTCTTTTCTTCAATTATGATATTGAGTTTTGTTTTCTTCAATCCTAGGCACGTGTTTCATGGTTTCTTCTTCATGAATGATTGAATCAATGCCCCTTTTTTTAATTATGTGAATCTGTTAATTCTTACTCAATGTCACTGTGGTTTTTATCGAAATTAAGCTTAATTATGTTAATGGGTTTGTTTAAAGTTTTATTTTTTTTGGCGTTTGGATCGATGTGAGGCTTTGTTTTTTTTTTTCCAGTCCTTTTTGGGTACCCTTTCTGGGTTTTGTTGATTTTGTATAATTTGTTCATTAAATTGTAATTTTTTAATGATTTATTTAATTAGATACTGTTAGTGATCTTTTTTTCTTCTGGGGTTTGTAGATTTTGGTGATTTGAGGAATTGAGACTGAAGGACTGTGTTGAGGAACTATGGCTTCCTCTTCTGCAACTTTTGTTGGTTCTACTGCTTCTGATTTTCTCAGGAGTTCACCTACTGGTTTTGCTGGTTCTACTGCTTCTGATTTTCTCAGGAGTTCACCTACTGGTTTTGCTGGTGTCCCTTTGAGATCCTTGGGAAGGGCAGGGTTGGTTTTGAAAAGAAGGGATTTATCTGTTAGTGTTACTGCTAAGTTGAGGAAGGTGAAGAGGCGTCAATATCCATGGGCTAATAACCCTGATCCCAATATGAAAGGTGGGTGGTTGCGTCATCTCTCACCATTCCAGCCACTCAAAGAGGAGCCAAAGCCTGTTATTTTGGAGTTTGAAAAGACTCTTGTTGATCTGGAAAAGAAGATCAATGATGTAACTTCTAATTTACTCTTTTTGTGTGTGTGGCTGTGTTCTTTGTTTATTTAAGCTCGAATGAATTGGGTATACAATATATGATTCTAATTCTTCAAGGTTGTGCTAGTAGTAATGATTTTTTACATGGTTGAGAACAGATTCGGAAGATGGCAGAAGAAGTTGATGTGGATTTCAGTGATCAGATTCGCGCATTGGAGATTAAGTACCAAAAGGTTTGACTGTCATAACAATAATATGTTATTCCCTAGAAAATTGAATTACTTGAACAACAAAACTGATGATGAATACTAGATTGAATTATGTAGACAATTTTATTAGGTTTCGGATTGTGCCTGCAGTTGCAAGTATGTCCCAATCTTTGATATTATAGAAAATTGTAGATGAAGGTGGTTGCAATTGCAGTTATACTGTGGTTGCAATCCTTGATTTTGCGGCTGCAATTGTAGTTGCTGACTGCAATTTAAAACGACTCATGAGAAAGTTGTGATGCCACTGCTCTGATTGTTGCTTGCAAGAATGAATCTGTCATATTTTAGCACGTGTTGGTTCAGTTATGTCATAAACAAATTAGTTGAGCTTAACTTTTATTGATATTGGCAATATCTTTGTTACAAATCCCATATTGGCTTCTTAGTCGCTTATCTTATATCTTTGTTTCTGAAATACAAATTATCTATTTAAGCAATTGGATATACTTTTTGCTTGTAGTTCGCCGGATAATATTTTTGTTTATATATAAGTGACTAAAGCTGAAGAGTGTTACTGTGTTTTCATATTTTGTTGGTATTTGTGAGTGTTATTGACTTGCGTCTGTGTAAACTGCACATTTACTTGACCTATATTATCAGTTTAAGCATGTTATAAGGTTTTTAATAGTTATTCATTCATATTTCATTGTTGAAACATATACACTGTTTCATTCCCTCCTAATCTCCAAAATTTCACCGGTAAAATTCTCATGCTTTCACTGTTTCCGTTGCTATTTCAGACTGTGGAGAATCTATATACAAATCTAACTCCTATACAGCGGGTCAACATTGCACGACATCCTAACAGGCCTACTTTCCTTGATCACATGTATAACATAACTGAAAAGGTCTACTGAATATTATAGTTGTTTGCACTTTTTCGATTTAGTATACAGTTTATTGCATTCTTATATTTGAATCGTTCGGTAATTATTGAACTGCTACCTTAATAGAATTCTCATCTAAATCTTTTCTCTCTTGTTGTAGTTTATAGAACTCCATGGTGATCGTGCAGGATACGATGATCCTGCTATTGTCACTGGTCTAGGGAGTATAGATGGTAAAACCTACATGTTCATCGGCCAACAAAAGGGTAGAGATACTAAAGAAAATATTCAGCGTAACTTTGCGATGCCAACTCCACACGGGTATGTTTTTTTCCACTAGAATTCTAATTTATACAGAGTAATAACGCTATGTAGCTTCTGCTATTTGCCTTCAATGCTTTCTGCTATTTCACTTGGAGAATTTTTGGCATTGCGCTATTTTTGTGATCTGCTATTGATAACATTATTGGACATGAACTGGGATAATTTGATTAAATTTACATGCTGTCAAATTTCTCCACATTTGGCACTTACGGGTGGTAAATTTCCAAATCAACCAGTTATAGGAAAGCTCTGCGCTTGATGGAATATGCAGAACATCATGGGTTCCCGATAGTTACTTTCATTGACACCCCTGGGGCATTTGCTGACCTCAAATGCGAGCAACTTGGTCAAGTATGTTGATAGTTATGCTTTATTATACATTGGTATCCATTCTATTGTTACTATGTTAATCCATTTGATTCACTTTCATGCATGCAGGGTGAAGCAATTGCTCATAATTTGAGATCCATGTTTGGTCTGAAGGTGCCAGTTCTTTCTATAGTTATTGGGGAAGGTGGATCTGGCGGTGCCCTTGCCATTGGATGTGCTAATAAAATACTCATGCTTGAAAATGCAGTGTTCTTTGTTGCCAGGTGATTAAATTTTTACTTCTACTATTTGCAAGTTTTATAACGTTTATATTGATTTCTTCAATTGCCGCCTCTCTTCCAATATTGCATGTTAGATGAATCTTTTAAAGCTTCTTTGTAAATAATGTTTGCTCTGCAAATTATCTGTGGCTAACTATGTCGCACCGACACTTCAGATTGGAGGCGTGTTCTATGGCCAACACTCACACAACGCCCACTTCTTTTATCTCAAGTTTTTACCCGTGTCGATGTGTTAATGTCAAAGTTGTGTCAAGTATCCGTGTTTGTGTTACATAGGCGGCTAAAGGTTTTCATGGTTTCATATATACATACACCCTCTGTCCCTAAATATAAGCGTCGTTAATGTTTAACACATCATACAAGATAGATAGGACCGTTAGCATGAGTAATTTCCAATCATTTACCAATTGAAAATGTTCTGATCTGTTCTAGCGGTTTAACCTTTATCTATTACATGATATAGTCCAGAGGCATGTGGTGCAATCTTGTGGAAGAGTAATAAAGCTGCTCCAAAGGTATTTGAATATACAAAATTGGGACTTGAATATTTTATCTTACAATGTATGCATTCAATTATTTATTTTATCCTTGTAGGCTGCTCAGAGACTGAAGATTACAGCATCTGCATTGTGCGAATTGGGAATTGCAGATGGCATTATACCGGTAATAATGATATTATGTTTTTTGCTCTTAAATCTTATTTGTATATATGAACTATGCCATCTTAATAGTTTGAAAATATAAACATTTATGACAAGTATTTCAGTGCCGAGGCAAATTTGCCGAACCTTCTAACTCCTGCTTTGATTTGTTCTAGTTCTGTAATTTCCTCTATATAACGTATAAATTAGTAATAGCGTTCTCTATGAAATGGAACCTAAGTAGAATTTCATTTTCTTTTCAATAGGAGCCCCTCCGTGGTGCACATACTGATCCAACTTGGACCTCTCAGCAGATTAAAAAGGCAATCACTGAAACTATCGATGTAAGTTTTACTGTTATGATCGTGTTCTACCGAAATAAAAAAATGTTGAAGCATATTCTGATATGAAACCTTGGCTTGTTCATTGTGCAGGAACTCTCCAAGTTGAGCACAGAAGACCTATTAAAAGATCGCATGCTTAAGTTCCGAAAACTCGGTGGGTTCCAGGAAGGAATTCCTTTAGATCCCAAAAAGAAGTTGAATACGAAAAAGAGGGATATACCTGGTTCGCCAAAGGAGATTCCTGGTTCTCAAATAACGGATGAAATTGAGGAACTGAAGAAATATATCTTAGAAGATAAGGACTACTCTTCTTTGCCAAAGGAAATTTCGGTTGAAATTGAGAAATTGAAGAAAAAAATTTTGGAAGGTAAGGACTCCTCTTCTGTGCCAAAGAAGATTGGTTCTCGAATAGCATCTGAAATTGCGAAACTGAAGAAAAATATTTTGGGAGGTAAGGACTCCTCTTCTGCGCCAAAGAAGATTCCTGCTTCTCAAAAAGTGGTTGAAATTGAGAAACTGGAGAAAAATATTTTGGAAGGTAAGGACTCCTCTTCTGCTCCAAAGAAGATTCCTGGTTCTCAAATAGCGGTTGAAATTGCGAAACTGAAGAAAAATATTTTGGAAGGTAAGGACTCCTCTTTTGCGCCTTCAGAACTCAATCTGGACAAGACAATAAAGACTCTGGAAAGGGAGGTTGGTAAAGAATTCTCTGGGGCCGTTAAAGCCGTGGGCTTAACAAAAATGTATATGAAACTACGGGGTGAAATTTCAAAAGCAAAGGCAGATAACCAACCTTTGACTCCATTGCTGAAGGACAAGATAAAAAAGTTTTACGCAAGTTTTAACCAAAGGTTATCAGCGGCTCCTAATTCCGGAAAGCTGCTGAAGAAGCGAGGCTTGTTGATAGAAGTGACTAAAGTCAAGGTTTTGTCGGATAAAAAGAAGAAGGCTGCAGCACGTAAGCAAGAACTAAAGAAAAAGAGAGAAGAGACTAGCGTCAAGCTTTTGTCGGATAAAAACAAGGAGGCTGCAACACTTAAGCAAGAAGTAAAGAAAAAGTTTGATGAAGTCATGGCTATTCCTAGAATAAAGGAAAACTATGAAGCATTACAGTCTGAAATCCAGCGCGTTGGCGCATCCTCGGGAAGTGATTTGGACGATGAACTGAAGAAGAAAATCATTGAGTTCAATAAGGAGGTAGACTTGCAGCTGGTTAAAGCTATGAAGTCGATAGGGTTAGATGTTGAGGTTGTGAAACCATTAGATGTTGAGGTTGTGAAACCAGAAATTGGCTGGAACAAGTCTTCAGTGGCAGAGATAGAAGAACTAAACAAAGATGTACAAAAGAAAATTGAAAGTGTGGCAAACTCGTCATCGGATGTTAAGAGACTGATAGAGCAATTGAAACAGGAGGTTGCCAAGTCTGGAGGGAAACTGGATTCTGAATCGAAGAGTAGAATTGATGCTTTGGTGCAACAGATTAAGGAGAGCCTTGCTGAGGCTGTTGACTCGCCTAGCCTGAAAGAGAAGTATGAAAACCTGATTCTTCCAGCAGGAAACACTCCCACTGATCCCACCGATGACAATTTAAGAGAGAAAGTTGGTGCAAATCGCAACTTCTCTTAATGTGAGTTCAACTAAGCTACACAATAATCATTTCTTTTTCTGTGAAAGTAGTTTAAAATTTGGTGTCAAAAAATCATTTATTTTTTATTATTGACCCTTCAATAATCTTTTTGTCAGAGACTGCTGCTCGTGTGGGGCTGGTGAAGATGGTGCTGATAGTGGAAACTGCATCAGTGTTCCTGATGATATATTTTACCAATATCTTCATGGTCAATAATTGTTAGAGACATGTTTTAAAGAATTAAAGGAGACACCGGGCGAATTTTGGCTGATATTTTTCAATAATCTAGACTACAAGCGCGAATAAAACATAAACCCATTTTGTATTTGTTTGAGTTAGAATGTTGCAGTTAATTTTAGAATGACTTGCTTTATCTACATCTTTTTTCATCCTTTTTCAAAAGTCTCCGAGTGTTTTCCCTGAATAGACATAGATGAACATTGTATAAATTATTTGTGTTTGAAGAACATAATAAATAACATGATGCTGTGCTGTTTGAATGTCTTATTTGAAAGAGTGTTACGAGATTAGGTTGTAATAAATAAATGCATGCAATCTGTTTACCCACTTTTTTCTTCTTTAATAGTGTTACGAGATTAGGTTGTAGGATTAAGGAGCTATATACCCCTAGAAGCACTATTGAAAATACCCAAGAGCAGTTCGATGGAACGATTTCATGGATTCGGCCATAAACAACCTCGTCATATTCTTCGCAACTTTAAAATTATTTTTTTAAATCAGTGCAAAATTTATGCATTTAACAAAATAAAATTTGTAACTCATACCGATAGTTTTAACAAAAATAAGAGATTTTCAATTATGTTAAAATGTTCGATAAAAAAATGATAACTTTCATGAGTTTGTATCGGAAATTTCAAATTTTCCAATAAAAACTCTTAAGTATTTTTTTTTTCCAAAAATACCAATATTGGTTCCAAGACACCAGACATTTAAAAAAAGTATAATATAATACGGCAATTTCAAAATGAATTAACGGAAATTAGATTTGTTATCGAAAATTTATAATGAACTTCTGAAAATTTAGTTCGCACTTTTTGATCCAATTTTGTCTATGAGCAGTTTTGAAATTAACAAAATATGTGGGGGTGTCATCGAAAATTTATAATGAACTTCTGAAAATTTAGTTCGCACTTTTTGATCCAATTTTGTCTATGAGCAGTTTTGAAATTAACAAAATATGTGGGGGTGTCATGCTTAATCTTTGGGGAAGCAGATTAAATTCTCTAGGTGGTGGTGTATGTCGGTCAAATTTTGATGTATATACTTCAATTTGAAATTTATTTGGAGATTGCTTTTCCCACCCTATGTATTACTCATCCATTATGGTGAAAATTCAATAATTTCTTTGAAATTGGAATTTTATTCTCCGGACGCATCCAAAATGTCAAATTCTCTCATATTTTTATCATATCAAAGGTAAAAACAAGTTCGAATTTTAAAATTCGAACTCACCCAAACAAAACTCATTCTCAAACTCAATTCTCTATAATGTTGAAGAGTTAGTCCGAATATTAAAATCCAGAATGTCCCCTATTATGAAAAACTAAAACATAGTTGAAACGAGAAATAATGTTCAGGGGGTTGTCCGAATTTTAAAATCCGAAACCTTCCATGTTATCATAAACCATAAGTAATTGCAGAAATGAGAAGAACAACATAAATTAACACAAATCTTTCATTTGACATAAATTAATACATATGTCTTACATGAAGATTTGGAGTTGTGAAGTTTATGTGAAATGATAAATTTCAACTAATCTTGAGCCCAGATTTGTCAAATGTTTATTTGTGGGGTATCCTAAAGAAACAAGAGGGTATTACTTCTACAATCCTTCTGAGGGCAAAGTGCTTGTCGTTTGAACTGGAGTATTCCTAAAAAGGGACTTTATTTCCAAAGGAATTAGTGAGAGGAAAGTAGAGCTTGAAGAAATTAAAGAATCATAAATCATTGATACACCTATGGAGGAACTGGAGCAGGAAACACAAGTAGTTGTGGAAGAGAAACCTGCTCAAGTAGAACAAGATCAACGTAGGTCAAACATGATACATCACCAACCTGAGAGATATGGTTATCTCATAACTGATCAAGGTGATGTACAACTCATGGATCAATATGAGCCTGTGACCTACCAAGAAGCTATCACTAGTCCCGAGTCTAAGAAGTGGAAAAAAGCCATGAATCTGAAATGGATTCCATGTACACAAACTAGGTTTGGACCTTGGTAGAGCCTCTTGTAGGAGTTAACCCTATAGGATGCAAGTGGGTCTTCACAAAGAAGACTGACATGGATGGTAAGGTACATACCTATAAGACAATACTGGTTGCTAAGGGTTATAACAGATTCATGGTGTAGACTATGATGAAACCTTTTCACCAGTTGCAATGCTTAAATCTGTTCAGATTTTACTTGTTATCGCTGCATATCATGATTACGAAATATGGCAGATGGAAGTCAAGACTGCTTTCCTTAATGAGAATCTTCTTGAGGATGTGTACATGACACAACCTGAAGGATTTAACATACCAAAAGAAGCCCAAAAGATATGCAAGTTACAACGATCAATCTATGGATTGAAGCAAGCTTCCAGAAGCTGGAATCTTCATTTTGATAAAAGGGTAAAACAATATGGATTCATAAAAAACAAAGATGAACCTTGTGTCTATAAGAAGGCTAGTGGGAGCATGATCGTCTTCCTGATATTATATGTAGATGACATATTACTCATAGGAAACGATGTCCTTACCTTGCAGCAGGTAAGAACTTGACTAGGAAAATGATTTTCTATGAAGGACCTAGGTGAAATAGCCTATATACTAGGAATTAGGATCTATAAAGGTAGATCACAAAAGCTGTTTGGCCTAAGTCAGAGTACATACACAGACAAAGTGCTGAGACGCTTTAATATTTATGATTCTAAAAAAGGATTCATACCTATGCAACATGACATGTGTCTATAAAAAACACAATCCCCTTCAACTAAGGAAGAAATTGATCGCATGAATAAGATTCCATATGCATCTGCAATAGGATCTATCAGGTATGCCATGTTATGTACTCGACCAAATGTCTCGTATGCTTTAAGTACAATAAGTAGGTACCAATCTGATCCCGATGATACTCATTGGGTTGATGTCAAGAATATCCTTAAGTACTTGAGAAGGACTAAGGACTTATTCTTGATATATGGAAGTCAGGAAGAGCTCGTTGTAATTGTATACACCGATGCTAGCTTCTAGACAAATAAGGATGACTTTAGATCATAATATGGTTATGCGTTTTTCTTAAATGGTGGCAATGTGAGCTGGAAAAGTTCAAAGCAAGATACAATTGCTAATTCTACAACCGAGGCCGAGTACATTGCTGCCTCAAATGTAGCAAAGGAAGTTGTTTGGATCAAGAAGTTCATTAGTGAACTTGGCATAGTCCCTAGCATTGTGGATCCCATTGATCTCTATTGTGATAACAATGGTGCTATCACATAAGTTAAGGAGCCTAGATCTTACCAACAATCCAAACACAAACTTAGAAGATATCACCTCATTCGAGAGATAATAGATAAATGAGATGTGAAGATATGCAGAGTACCAACACTCGACAATGTCGTTGACCCACTAATAAAGCCTCTTGTGGAGCAGAAGCATGATGACCATACTAGATCTATGAGTATTAGGGGTATGGCTGATTGACTCTAGTGTAAGTGGAAAAATTTTGGTGTAAGCCCTAGAGGCCAAAAGTTTTGGTACTTGTATTGAATTATTTATTAATAATTAAAAAGGCATTTTTTAAATATGTTTGTTTTTCCAAAATGATAAAGTCCCTAGAATAGCTAGCTTGTTTAATGAAATGATAAGTGTGATTTAATCATGAGATCCCATTAAACATAAGGACATTATTATTAAAGTATTTGTAATCGAGATTTATTGTAAAGTAGGATATCATTGAATTATTGAGACTATTATATGGATAGACTGATGATCACATCTTATGGAACATAGATAAAGAGTTATAGTCTTCACATATGTATGAATATTAGGAGTAATATTTATACTAGGTTGACCTGCTATGATAATAGAAAGTTATGCAAATTGTCATAAGTTATTCTCATAGTGATAGTGATGTATGCCACCGTTCAACCTGAAACCATTATGGATCATAGATGTGGAGTCGAGTATTTATTGCTGATAAAACATTGTCCTTAGCTGGATGACCATAAAGACAATTGATTGGTACTCAACAAAGTATACTGAGGTACATGAGTGACCTAGATGGAATTTGCCTATCCGATGTAACAGAATAAATGTCTAAGGGCCTAATATTAAACTGGACAAGGGTAACATGGTCTATGTTTGTGTTCAATATAGACATGAGGGAAAAAGAGTAATTGTACATAATATTATTATTACAAAAAGGTTTTTTTTTCCAGAGCACATGACATTTTTGTTACTTGGGTAACAATGATATGTTGCTAGATACCGCTCACTATTTATTATATTATATGTATGATTTAATATAATTGCTAACATCATGAGAACCTACAGGATCACACACATAAGAACATGTTGATGAGATATAGAATAAACAAAGAATAATGTAAGGTATAGTTGTTAGACGCCAAATTTCACTTATTTGATCTATCAAATGTTGGCATCTTTCACTCATTTTCGTCAATTAAGTGTTGAAAACCACTCTTGTTTTGGTTGGTTTGCAACATTATGAGAAAATCTCTTGGTACCTTTGATTTGTGTGTTATTGTGCAGGAATTAGGCACAAAACAAGTGAAGAGTAAGACACAAGAAATGGGCAAGGAAACTAAGACAACATGCAAACCACCAAAATGTTGTCACGCTCGCTAGGCGAGCAGGTAGAGAACGTGTCAGCGAAGGCTTCGCTAGCTTGCTCGCTAGGCGAGCAGGCCAGCGAACGCATCCATAATTGGGCAGTGCCAAAAGTACCAAAAGCTCGCTAGGTTCGCTAGC